ACGGGCGGTTCTTTTGTTATCTGGTTGCTTGTTATAAAAACTTTGGGTACACATGTAGGAGCTTACCCCAAACCCAATGCAACCTTTAACAATCATCAAGATATTATAATTCATATTCCATAGTTTTCTTGGAAAGTCTATTAAACTTCTATTGAAATCTGAAAGCCTTTTTATTTTTCAAATTGATACTGAATCATCCGATCAGCATTTTCTTTAGTCATGATTATTTTTCACAAAAAATTATGCAATTATTATTTTCAATAGCTAATACCTTATCGCACAAAAGATAGCTTGTTTACCCTTTTCCCAATTGTTTTAATATTTTGTTTTGACTCTTCTATTTAGCACAATAAAATATACATGTGTCTTATCCTATGATAATAATTTTTTGTTATAAAATATTCAATAATGAAATACGCAAGCCTCACATATTAACTCCACTTTGTCCAATCGCCATTGTGTATAATATTTCAATAGGCCAGGTGTCAAACTTGTGTCAAATAATGACAAGTATCATATTCTAGCTGACCTAACATCAGGAATCATACCGTACGAAATATACATCACCTGCTACCCGTGTCAAATGGCAACATCTGTATACACTGATATATAGTTTATTACGAATTAATAAATAAAAAAAATGGAATTAAATATATGAAATTAATAACCATTTTGTTACTTTCATTTTGTTTCTTTCGTTTTATTCCATTATGCGTTAAAACGTGTGATTTATATATCATTACACAGTGTTGATGTTAGAAATGTGTATAAATGACACGGTATTAAATCCGCAATACACATTCAATACCCCAGACAATTGGTAAACAATAGCAACTTAATTTATAATCTTATTAATTATTAATATTAATTTACACTTTATATATGTACACCACGGGTAATAATATATCCACATGTTTTTGTAACTTTACAAGAACATCACTGTGTCCTTAAGACGTTCGTAGATAGTCAGCTCTAAAATATAAAATGCTTTGCACAGAATTTCGAAAATAATGACTAGGCACTTTGGTGTTTTGAAGTTACAGATATGGCTACAACGTGCCAGTTTCTGAAACAAATCATATATAACAATTACAACCACAGTCAGACAGTTTATTTCATTTTCCGAATAGAGGATTTAGATTATAGAACTACGGTGTATTAACCTTGTTTATTTAAAACCTGGTGTGATTGGTCAGATATTACACACTTTCTGGTTGTATATCCAACAAGTTAGACGCCAATGAACCCTTGGCAGTTTGAATTCGATGAAGCTTAGTGTTTCGCCCATACGCTGCATGGCTTAGGCCAGTCTGCGCTTGCCGGTAAGTGCATAACAATAGGACATTAAACCCCATTTGATGTCATTTCCATCTGCAAACAAAGCGAGTACAATCATTATATATACAACTATAGTTTCCATAAAAAATGTCTTGACAAGAAGTAGAAATATTATTTTTATTTCATTGGCAAGTTTAAGAAGAATGACTTATCGTTGCAAAATGGGGAAGAAGGATATAAAGTGGGCTAGATAATAATAATAATCAAACAGGAAATTAATCAAATACAGACAAATGGGTGGTGGCGGATATACAAGGTTCCGTTCACAATCTGGATCTGGAACGTTCCACCGATTCTGTTAACCGTTAAAGCAAAAATGAAATGAAATGAGGGTTAACGTCCTACTTTTCTGCACCGACTGGGATAATAAAGACGGGCTTGCGCCATACAGTGTGATGTGAGGGAAAATTTGCCCGGACAGCGCCGCTACGGTCTACTCTTATATAGAATTCAATCTGTCAATGGATCATTTACGTGTACGCCAATATGTATACACAGGACTTCAGTTTCTCGCCCCATCCGAACGACTAGGCAACTGTCCTTGTCAGGCCCTGGCTATTAAAACCGCTGATCGTCATTTGCGTAATTCACGCTAAAATGCATTCAATGTGATTATTTGATATTACATTAAGAACACAAAATGTAGATAACCTACCGTCCTAATTTCGATCAGATTACAAAGAGGCCTATCTAAAGATTTAAATAAAGATCACATGTGGTGCTGGCTTGTTTTGACCACATCCAGTTTATATTGTCTGCTGAGGATGTCGAATGTTGACAAAATTTCAAGTAACATATTTTTTTTTATAAATATTCTTCATCATTATTACTCCATCAAAATCACAAAAAGTCGCAGAGGTTACAATTACTTCACATGTTTATTTTTCAATAAAATCTACAATAAAATCACCAGTACATGTTATCATATAATTTAGGATTGATTTAATATCTGCTGTAGTAAAGTTGTTAGAATTTCCTTTGTGACAAGTATGTTTAATGTTATGTAATGTGCAGTATGTAAGTACAGCTTTAAGAGGCAACATCCGTGCGTGTTGGAATATATATATAGAGACTCCTATCACCTCATCATTTCAACACTTGTAGAAAACAATAGTCTCTACTCCACTGTGTTCATAATCCCTATCAGATGACTGTAAAACACAAGAAACTTGCATGAACTATGGGGTTTTATGCCCTTATTGAAACGCTCGTCAAATCTGGTCAATATATTTGACCAGCTTTGACCATGGACCTTATAATCTATTATAATAGTGTGAATATAACTATATATGCCTAAAATCGAAAAGAAGCTCATTCCAACCACATGATTATCTTGGTCATACTGTCGCCATTCTTTCCTGTAACCATGTAAACAATATTCGATTATTAACCAACCTTAAACATTACTGACCTACTGGCTCTCGTCTATTCATAATTTCTTGTAACCGGACCCTGTTTTACCGTCTTTTGGTAACTTTACAAAACATGGCTATATTTTACTTACTTTTATAAGCTCACAGCTTCGCCTCGCCATGGTTGAGTATTTGTGTTGTGGATAATGTCATATTGTTCGCACATATTTTGTTTTCTAGTGTGATATTTATACACAATGCCAGTTTGTCATATTTTCACTTTGATGTAGCCAATACCGAATTTCATGAAATTTGATTTTTAATGTTCCTTTCTCACTGTCCACTGAATAAAGAGGGTTAAGATAAAGTCGGCAATAAGGGGCCAGTGTCTGGAAATCTAATACAGAAAGAAAGACAAGGAATCTAGCAGATTTTTACATTTGTTATCCAAGTAGACTTTTATTTATTTTAAGGTATGGTGGTACTGGGGTGCGTCGACAGAAAAGAACTTAAAAATTATGCATCTTTCAAAAGATTTGATAAATAAGAGTTACTGTCCCATCAACAGGTTATATATGAGAGAAGTAGGCAAATTTTATAGATGCACTGCATATGCGCCCATAATACACTTGATGTATAGGCCCTATGCGTTCAAAATGAGGTAACAGGAGTTACTGTCCCATCAACAGGTTATATATGAGAGAAGTAGGCAAATTTTATAGATGCACTGCATATGCGCCCATAATACACTTGATGTATAGGCCCTATGCGTTCAAAATGAGGTAACAAAACATTTTTCATTTTGCAAAGATTGTTCTACCTTTATACTGTCCTATCAACGGGTGTATATATACCAGAAAATGGCAAATTTAACTTTATAGATGCACTGTATCTGTATTTTGCAAAGGTTGTCCTATCTTGATACTGTTCTATCGACAGGTGTATATATACCAGAAAAGGGCAAATTTAACTTTATAGATGCACTGTATATGCACTCAAAATACACACATTCTATATGCGTTCAAGATGACGTAACAAAACATTTTCATTTTGCAAAGATTAATTTCCCATTAGGTATGAGTTAAAGTTACGCTGACTTTTACTATTTAAACGCCTTTTATCTGTTATTTCCTCGAACTGGATTTACCACGAAGCAATATTTCTATTCTCCACAAGTAACAAGATAAAGTAGTTCGCATGTTTACAGGTTGAACTATTCATATAAACAGTAATATAAAACTGTATAAATATACATATTTAACACAAAGGTCGACATTATTGCATAAAATAACATCGATCTCACAAACTAATACTCGACCATTGTAAAACTCATTCATAAATAGAATACAAATAAAGCAAAATATACATACACATACATAAATAGAAAAAATTGTCGATTTTCATTCATATATAAAATAATATATACTATACATTATTTTCTTGTATATATGAATACTATAATCAGTATATAGTAAAAGATAACTTTACAACTGTGTATGCCTGGATATGATTTTCGCTTATAGTCTAGAGCATCCAGCATATCGGCAAAAGGACGCAGTTTTCACACATTGTAAACAAACACAGTGTTACCCCACCCTGGCGACCTGTTTTCCTAACTCAATTTCTACACATAATAAGGCCACTTTCTCACCCGCTGACAACCTTTAATACACAAACTTGTGGTCTTTTCAAATATCTCATAGGATAAAAAGAGTAACGTTCCTTGCATTGTACGTCAGTGATGTGTTAATAAATAAATATATAAAATGAAAATCGTTGAATCTCAGTGTAATGCTATTTGACAATTTAAAGGACTGTTATTGTTTTAAAATAATTTTGTAGTATTTCTGCCGTTTGAGTCAAAACCCCAACAAACATACGATCAATATCCTGCCGTAGATAATTAATCATGTCCGGAAGTCACCGCCCCCATAACAAAAGATCACGCCTCGATGACTCTGTAAACAACGCCCCTAGTCACTCAGGCTTATCTACAACGCGAGAAAGAATATCTATAAAAATTTGCCTTATGTAGCTTTATAGAGCTTTGTCTATTTGAAGACGTACTAGAGTAAACAAAGGCATGTTTGCTACAGAATAAATTAATTCAGCCACATTGCAGAATCATTCCATCAGCTAAAGTTCTTCCAAGGCAAAAAAACCCTGGTTAAAATCAACCAATGGGATTAAAGTCAACATTAACATCGTAATTTAATCTGCCATAATGATTTGTCAATCAAGACCGCGGCCGACCAATGAACGTGCAGCTGTCATTCCGTGTCGATGATAATACTTGTCGTTGTGTACACGGCTTCACTATACATGAATAACACAGGCGGAATCGGATAGGATTTTATAAGTGATCAGTGAAAGCAGCTGTGGTTTTTTAAGACCATGGCCGCCTCTAGTGCTAGTTTATACCTATCTACCAGTGTTCCATCATCTTTAACTATGAACCAAGGTGGACTCATGAATCATGGAATGCAAGTTCACGGAACGCAAGGACAATATTCTCCTCGAGACGTACAGGAGTTGAAATATATACCACAACAACACCAGAATGGACACCATTTGAGTCACCACAACCCGTGGGTAGGGCTGTCACATGAAGCCCAACATTGGGGTGCAAGTATGGGCCAAGGAATGCATGGACAGGACATGAAACCGCATGGTAACGTATTGGACGGCACGGGAGGTACGTTACATCATCGGCCTATTCAGCAAATACATCCAAGTCACTCATGGCATAACGCCGTATCGTCACCTCACTTACCTATATCTAATGGTAATCACCAGCTTCAACAATATGGCTATATGAATATGAATGGAATGATGTCACCCCATGGCATGCATCCCTTGGATCAACCTGAACCAGATTTGGAACCGCAGCCACAGTCCGACGAAGACACCCCAACATCCGACGATTTAGAAGCCTTCGCTAAACAGTTCAAACAGAGGAGAATAAAATTGGGTTTCACCCAAGCAGATGTGGGCCTGGCCCTAGGGACATTATACGGTAACGTTTTTAGTCAAACTACTATCTGTCGTTTTGAAGCCCTACAATTAAGTTTTAAAAATATGTGTAAGTTGAAGCCGTTGTTACAAAAGTGGTTAGAAGAAGCTGACAGTACGACCGGGTCGCCTACTAGTATAGATAAAATAGCAGCGCAGGGTAGAAAACGTAAGAAGAGGACAAGTATTGAAGTGACAGTGAAAGGGGCTTTAGAAACTCACTTTTTACAACAGCCGAAACCGGCCGCACCGGAAATTACACATCTCGCCGATTCACTGCAGTTAGAGAAAGAAGTTGTGCGGGTATGGTTTTGTAATCGTCGTCAAAAAGAAAAGCGAATGACCCCTCCAATGCAAGTGGGGCCGAATGGAGAGATGATTTTAATGAATGAAGACGGCTGCCCCGACTCGGTTAATAGTAACAGTAAGAGTCCCCTGCTTCATTCTGCTAGCAGTCCCGGCGATTCCAATTCAAACAGCTCACCAAATCACTGTATGGCCAATTCTATTTCTCATAGCATGGCAAATTCAGTGTCCATTCCTCAGGGGTATTTTTCTCAAGCCTATAACCTCCACCACCATCATCATCAGTCTCAACACTCACCACCCCCACAGACTCATTCCATGAATCTATCTCCGCATCATCACTGATGGTGGTAAGGTACCTCTTTTTAATTTAAAAAACTGTTTAAAGGGGACCGTAAAGAATGAAGTAAACTAAACATTTTTATGTCAAGTATTACCGTGAACTGTGTATTTTGTGCTCGGGACACCAATATAATAATGTGCATGGAGCTGTGTTAATATATAAATATATATATAAATATACAGAAACTTCTATATACAGCTAATTATTAAAGACATTTAAACCCCCGTGGGAGTTTTATGCTGGTCAAGAAGGGCATTCCCTGCGTAACAAACAGTTAAGAAAAATTGTAAACAATTTTTACCGCCAAAGACAAAACGAAAGATCCAACAACAGTAAGTTTAATATTGATTTCACTTTTTGTTGTTGAACATTTTTATTATTTAATTACAAACAATGGTACTCTTTGGCAGTATAAATTTAGAGATTGTGAATGTGAGCGAAACGAAACTGTTTATTATTATTATTTAACACCAATCAGTGCTTTTTTTTTTGGAAACTATTTGAAGTGACATCTAATATTATTGTAATAGGGTTTAATACCCGTGTGTTAATATTATTGTGAAATTGAAGAGGTTTGAGTTATGAGAGTGTATTTCGTGTGGATAACTTTGGTAGGTATTCGTGCTTTTAATCTTGCCGAACAATTTATTTAAAATCACACCAAAAACAGTATAGTATACCCGATAGACGTTATTATTATTCAACCGCGATCAGTCAAATGTGATTTTATTATATATGTGGTTGATTTTGGACAATAACCTCTAATATTTAACTATATTCTGTTACTGTATGTACATACATGTATATGACCACACAGAGTTTGTCGGTTGTATCTAAAAATAGAATCCGATTAAAGCAACAAGACGAATATTGCTAAAAGAAAGAATTTGCATTTTTTGTGGGTGTAATATAGTAAAAAGACTATATTAATTATTATTAATTATTATTATTGTTCTTTATGTGATTAATGTTAAAACAATGAGCGATTAAATCGCTTCCTTCGGTCTTTTATTGTAATTTATGTAAAATGGTAGCATAATTTAATTCTTGTAAATTGTTCGATTTTTTCCATTATTTTTTCTCGATTTCTTTATTCGTTGTTTCACATTCCAGATTTTGGATAATATACAATTCTGCATAATTATTTATTTACCTTCAAATTTTATTTTCTAAATGCAGCTTAAATGTTTTACTTTCATTTTTATATCTAAAAATACTCATTAGAAGAAAAATCATTCCTTACTGGCATAATATAAAGATGTATAATCATAAATAATAATTATGGATTTACACGCGCTTTAATTACTGTCTTTGATATAATTTAATGAACAAAACGTTATAAAAAGAAAGATTCATAATTTTTATTGATCATATTTACATGAAATCATTTTAAAGAAAAGTCTTTTTACTGTTATAAAAAATAAATTGTTCATAAATACTATATACACTTGGTATTTTGTACTGTATTGGTGCGGTATTTTATTTATCCCCGTCTTGCGGTAGTGATAAAAGCTATTCAGTCTTTCATTTAATATAATAAAAACCAATAGAGTAATGTGCACTTAATTAACAAATAATTCAATAATCGCCTAGTTTGGTATTTTAATTAAAATCTAGTTTACGCTCAGGTGATATATAATTTGATATATTTATTTGTTAGCTTTCAGTTCTTTGGGTATGATTTTACAGAACAATAATATTATGTTTGTATTTGTTTCTAAAAGAGTTATGAATTATAAAAAAAATTCTGTGAAAAAATTAATCAATTGGTTTGTTATATTTATCAACAAAGGTCATTAATTACAAAAATAAACACCTCAACAATTAATTGTAATCGATAATTTTTAATTTCGGCCAAAACTGATGGAAAATTCTCTGTTGTCTTCTTAGCATACTGGTTCTTACATACTGTGTCCCATTTTTAATTAAAATTTTAATATGATTTGTAATTTTGTTCCAATTTAAAAATAAAGAAGAAAAAAGACCGGTTTCTTGATAAACATGTAGAATTATCCAAATTACATATAGTGCAGTTTATTACAAAAATACATATATTATATTTCATGGTACATACTGAATAGCTTATATCATTACTTATATCTACTGTTTTAAAAGAGATTATAATTTATCGGTGATATTAAGAAAACGCAGCTTTGCCTACGCATATCCCCTTTCCTTAAAGGAGTGTTTCAATATTAGACATATTTTAAACTTCTCATATAAAATCAGTGAGTGAATTTGTATTATTTTAATACATACATTGTTTTAGAATCCACCGAGGCTTCTATTTATAGCTTGTTACAATTGTTATTATTCTTAATAACACGAAATTTATCATTTTACTGACCTAATGAGAAGCACTAGATATTGTTCTAAACGAAGTTTGCCTTTAATCCGCCCTTGTCAAGTATGATGTATCCTAATTATCCACGGGTTGTTCCTGAATAACAAACTACTTTCGTCAGAAAAAATCTAAAACATGTTTTGATATAATTATCAAATTGTGTAAAAGTGATATCCCCATTCACCCAACGCCCCAGTCATCTCCCCATCAAATCTTATAAAGCCATTTAAACCGCGGTTTCACACCTGTGTAACAAAATGGAAAGCAAAAGACCTTTCAAAAAATCTGTTACATTTGTTTTGATATAATTATCAAATGGTCTACCTGCATAAGCTGTTGCTGAAGGGATGAAAAATGATTTGGTGTATAGAGCGGCAGATTGTTCAAAAATCAAAGGGGGATTTGATATACACGTATATAATGCTGTGGTAATAGGGCGACTATAACATCCATAGCATTATATATTTCATTGATTCTATAACAGATGCCGTCAACTATTACCTTTAAAAAGACTACTAGACGACAGTATACATAGGAATTTAAAGAGACTTTTTCATGAAGAAAGTATCGAAGGTCTGCAGAGGGGCATTGAAAGCAATAATAGCTACAGATACAGATGTTATTGAACTGACTTAGGTATATTCAGTATTTTCTCTCCACAAAATTCCTGTTTGAGAGATCTAATATATTCCTAGCTTACAACAAGTTTCTTAACATTCTCACCGTTTTCCTGTGTATTTCAAATAAATTTAACAAATTTTAAAAAAAATGATTCAAGAGGTGTATCTTAACACCGACATGACAAGTTAAATATTTAAGTGCGGTATGCATGACCGAGGTAGTCTTCCTATGTTCGTCATAGAAACAGCGTTATGGTTTTCATATCAAGCATATTAATATATGCATATATTTCGCCATTAAAAATATAAATAATATTAATAAACTGAAGAAAATTTTAAAACATTATTTCAGCAGAAAAGACAAAAAATCTATAGACTTTGACATTTCATATATACAGCAATATGCTTGGCCTGTTTTAGTTTTTTATACCTATATATAGCCTACATGTATATGTTATTATAAATATACTACAGTATTCATTCAATTTAAGTTTAGTGTCGATTACGAAACAGTATACAAAAGCATTTACTTATATAAAATGTAAACTTATAGCTTAGTATCAACTATACGGGGGTTGGGTGGGATTGTTTATATGTTTATACATCAACAAGCATGCCAGATATATATATACTATATATATAGTATATGTTTAAAACAAAACAAGATAAAAATCATCAACATGACAAATTTATAAGAGAATAATAGCCTTTGGAAAACACACATCATTTTTTGAAGTGTCGCCGTTGCTGCGATTGACAAGCAAATAAAACTATTTACCCTCAGGTGAAATAAAAACTCGACTGATTCGACCGAACTCAACCTTGACGGCTCTCATTTTTTTCACACTTTTCTCATTAGAATTATATGGTATTGATTCTGTTTCTACTCTGTGTGTTCTATATCTTCTTACAGTTAATATATGCAAATATATACATATACATGTACATTAATTTACTGAGATCGAATCCACAACAACGGAATTCCAACCCAATCAAAGAAATATATTTTTAAACCCTAGAACGAATTATTCACCTGATATATATATATTATTCATATACTAGGTATATATTTACTATATATTTCAATGACCTTTCATTTTCTAAACACACTCAACATACATTCTTATTTACTACCTTTATCGGTTTATTCAAATTTTTATTATTTTTAGAATAACATAGCCAGAATGTAGCACAGTATCAAATATGTTGATAACATTACTATTCAAATTCTAATTGAATTTTTGTTATTCTGAAAATAAATAAACATCGTTTTGTGTTATCTCAATAACGTTATATTAGTTATGCCAACTTAAGGTATTATTATTAAACGTCATTTTACATGTAATTGTACAACATCATGGATGTGGCCGAGTATTACCTATATAGACTAATAGATATATATCATACATAGACCACATCGTATAATGTTACAAATAGCACATTTTATAGGGAAATATGATACCATTATTTTATATCTTTCCGCAACGTTAACTTTGATGTTATACCTTTTTATATAAAGTTATATTATAAATAGGTTAGTCTCCATAGGCCTTTATGCACATGTAGACTTATTCAAAAACCCTTGGTGTAAACCTTTAAATTGATGCCCTGTAAGTGAACGTTTAGCGAATGATCTGTCGTAACCCTTTCCATGCGTCTTATATGAGTTGTAAACGATACGTGAGATAATAATGTTTGTTAGTTTTTAGTTAATCAGTATCATACCTTAGAGAAATACTATAATCATTCAACCATGTGGGTTATGATTGAACCTCTATATGTCTAACCAAGCGTGAAGACACATCACGGGGCATATGGCTACCACACGACCCTTCCTGATTCCGCCAATTTCTTGATCTAATTGATTGATCGGAACCAGTGGAAGTCTATCCAACGCTACTTTGATACCAGAAGACTATAAATGACAGCGCCTTTATTCATTTTACCGACCTCGTAAAAACCGTGGATGTGGATATTTGAAACAATGCCTTCACCATCTCTCTTTTTCCGCCATTATTCATTCTTGTTAACTTCATTCAGACGATTTGAGGTGACCATTTTTCATCCACTTCGCGACATGTCAAGTTCCAATGTGGTCTTAAGTAGCGGCTTCAATTTATCCCGACCTCATGCGTCAGGGCAGTTGAGAAAGACGTCTAATCTTCATTGTGTCGTTTACCACACTACTGAGATAAATGGATGAACTTTTGTTAATACACAGTTTAGGTATTGGTCATATTATGAAAAACATTTTACCAAAGCAGCTGCAATACTTAGACCTCATTTCGTTTGTTTTTCCCGAAAGGCCAAACAAGGTGCAAATACTGATCCCGGAATGAAATCTTACCAAGACTATGTTGAAAAGATACACATTGAAATTTCAGAATAAGTTTTCAGAAAACGGGTAGATTCGTTATCCAAACAGTGTTAATCACCGTGTCAGTCACTTATCCAAATAATAGTTTCTTGGAATAGTTTCTATTTGGCGTCATTATAAACACTGGCCTCTTTTTGAATAAAGGTATTTTTTTCATATTGATATTTTATGTAGATTTATTGCAATCAATTTTAAATAAACTACAGCTTATAATTGCCCCAACCCCCTAGCTCACAACTTTATTTTCTAAGGAACATCAAAGGTTTTGTGATTGGTCTGATTGTAGACAGGGTTACACAGTGCAGCGATAATCTTCGCCGCGGTGGACAAGAATGAAAGACAAATGATACCATTAAATGATTAACTGGATGCTATAATATGGCACCCCCATAGTGTAATAATTTCTCTCGTCTATACGATTCTGTTTAGTTTGAGCCCACTATATTGCACATTGGGTAATGGTGAAAATTAAGGCATTCAGTTTCAATTAGATGTATAATTTTTCCATTATTAGTTAGCGAGTCTCTCGAGAGTCCACCAATTCTACTCATTACTTGAAATGACTGGAATAAAAAAAGAGCAAATGCGTCGCCATTTAATGTGGTTTCCTCTAATTCACTTACAGGAATTAACAAATATTGTTTTGGGGAAATATTTATTAATAATAGCACCCTCAAATATAAAAGCGTTCATAAACTACTATTTACTATACCTTAATAGATCAAACCAAACCGGTATGGATATGAAATGTTTATTTAAAGATGTATTAGATAAAGAGTTGTTAAAAACTAATGAATACATCTTAATCTGCATATCATTATACAAAAAAAACCATGTATAGATCGCTATACACAATTAATTTTACACATAAATCTTATATATTTCCTTTCTCATCTAAGTACATACACATGAAAATAAAATTTTCTTTTTTCTTATTAATAAAAGTAGTTAAAACCCTGTGATTTGAATGTATGATTGATCTAATAATCATCATAACCCGTATAAAATACAGTGAAATTCTGCCCGTATCGTTTCTAAGGGGAGAAAACAACTTGCTATGGAACATTATACAATTTTATGATCACACGTGTAAAGAACAGTAAATCAATTCATGATACTGGCACAAAACATACGAACATGGATAATATTCAAAAATATTCGAGTAACTCATAATTCAGAATATCTGTTTATAATGGCTAGATAGTTTTGAAATAAAGTTATGTTCAACCACTTTTTATCTAAGCAAGAATCTATGTTTGAATTGAACAAAACAAACCACAAGACAAATATTATATTTTATCCCATTTAGGAACTCAAATAATAAAACCAAAAATGATGTATAATGAAACAAGAAGAATGGCTGATAACCAATCAATATCAGTAGTTGGAAAGCGACCGTAGATTAAGGAGACACGCCCTATAATCATTTAAAATCAAATCAAACTTTGATGATGTTCAATTGTTTTCGTGCTGGGCTGAATGTTGAAATTCGACATGCGTGTCGATATGTATTTAAGAGTAATATGAAGAGCATACAAGCGGAACACACGAATGGACGCCATTACAAACGTTCCACAAAAAACTGCTTATCTTGTACAATGGTTAATTATTGATCTAGATTTAGATGTGATTACCTGTGATATAATTTGATTAAACTTGTTTATTATTGGCTATATGCACCACAATAAAACCTTCTAATAGGATATTACATGTCACGTGATCAAAGATAACTCTATTATTGACCAATGACGTCATTGATTAATGTTTAATTTAGGAATAATTTGCTAAATTAAAGCAAATCGTGATTACAAAGTACGTGTAATAGGATAGAAGAACTAGTTCAACGAGTACAAAACATATATTCACAGATTCCTTATTATCAGCAGC